GAAGACAGGTTTTTCATGCGCGAATTTATCTTGCAGTGGTCAAGGGTGTCTCCTTTCATTGGGGCCAGCTGTCTCGAGGGCAATTCTTGTCAGGGCATGCCTCTGACGCAAGTGCCAGGTACCCGTGGACATCCACAAAGCCAGGCTGCTGCAAATCATTTGAATACGTGCGCAAACACGGCCTTCAGAAGTGCCTGGGCTTTGCTTGCCCCCAAGATGGACGGTTTCACACACCACACACACACACATACAGACGCACACATGTTGTTCACATGCCACACCAAGGTACCTGAGAAAGCGCAAATTGTCAGGCACCAGCTTTACGTTTGCCGACGTACTGTCAGATGCCTGGCACAGCATATGATAGTATGCACCTTGTGTATTTTCTGCTTGGAATGGACAATGGTAGGCATAGCTGACATGGCTACGCTCAGGAACAGTGTATCCATCTCCTTGAGGGCAGCCTGACAGCAAGCTTTGGGTCTGCCCTTGGCAGCTTGTTTCTTTCGATTGGCGGTCTCTGTGTCTCAATGTTTGTGCGCGTGTTCCAGTCATGTCCTGTCCTCTGCTGTACTGCACTGCGCTGTTGTGTTCTGTTTGTATGCCTATTTGTTTGTTTCGTTATTTGTTTGCTGTGGTCAGCTTGCGGTAGCATGGTGTTGTTTTGATAGGAAGACTGCCCCGTATGTTTGGCTCGTTGCAGTGCCAACGTCGTGGAGTGTGTGCAAGATCCACTTAGCCCGTCCGGACTCAGACTCCGCTTCGGCGTAGCGAGCGGCTTGAGAACACAAGTGTGGCGTTTGTCCAGAACTCATGAGGGCTAATTTTGATTGGACAGGTCTGCATGGATCGAGGGACCAACTCGCTAGCGCCAATGCCGCACACTGCACGAGTAAAAGGAAAGTGTGTCATCGAAAAGTCGAAGCTTTGTGTGTGTGTGTGTGTGTGTGTGTGTGTGTGTGTGTGTGTGTGTGTGTGTGTGTGTGATTGTTTGCTTGCTGGCTAGCTGGCTGGCCGGTTCGTTTGTTTGTTTTTTTGCTTGTTTGATTGTTTGTTTGGTTGGTTGTGTTAGTTTAGTTTGGTTGGTTTGATTTGGTATTTAGTTTGAATTGATTTGGTTTGTTTGTTTGTTTGTTTGTTTGGTTGTTTGTTTGTTTGTTTGCTTGCTTTCTTGCTTGCTTGCTTGCTTGCTTTATCATTTTTGATAGTTCGCACTTTTGCCCCGCTTGTGTGTGTATATATGTGTTTGCCCGATTCTTGCGCTTACAGGCACAACACTGGCTGTACTTTAAAGTTTGACTGACCCCATGAGATGCCAGACCGACAGAACACAGGCAAGGTAGGCAGGCAAGAAAAGGGGGCGGGAGAAGGCACAAGGGCAAGCAGGGAGTGGGAGAAAAGAGAGAGATAGAGAGAGAGAGAGAGCGAGAGAGAGGAGAGCGAGAGAGAGAGAGAGAGAGGAGAGCGAGAGAGAGAGAGGGAGAGAGAGAAATAGAGAGACAGGGGGAGAAGGTGAAGAAGGAGGGGAGAAGGTGAAGAAGGAGGGACGGTTGTTGTGAGAGCACTGATGCACTTAGGCCTACTCAATGTGGATCCTCGAGAGCGGCTCACGCTTGGCGAGGGTGTTTGGTTGGAATGCGCCTCTTGCAGCACTGAGAATGAACCAGCTGTCAAAGCTGATTGCTTGCCGCCCCAGTCCTAAAATCAAGTCATTTGACACAATATATTTTGCAACGGACACGCAATCAGATAGCCCCAAATAGGTCAATGCAGACAGGAGCGATATCAGCAGTTGAGCAGAGCAGCACCAAGATCGGCGCCACCCCTAGCATGAGCAGAAGCTGCCGCGGCAGCAAGACCAACAGCAAGACCAAGAGAAAACGGAGATGCAAGAACAAAATAAGGTTGCTGGCCTAGCCACAAGGATTCAGATTACCATGTCCACGCAAAAGAGCCTGACAAATGCACAGCCCTCTTGGCTAGCTGAGTTTAATTGGATGATTTGATCGCAGTTGTCTTTTCACAAGCCCGAGGCATTAAATAAATAAATAAATAAATATATGTAAATACAACTTTGCCATGGGGGTTCGAGTATTGAGCGAGACCGCTTCGGGTTTCATATTCTCGCTTCAGGCCTGTTCTCGGTCCCGAGGTGACCGGCCCTCTGTTTGGAGTGAGGACTGGGTGCTGATGAGCCCGCTGCCATGGACACGGGAAATCAGTGACTTTTAGAGCTTGGCCCATGCGAAGTGTCGAGCAACATGGACATTTCGGACCCCAAAGAATGGACAAACTTTTTTTTGTCCGAATTTGGGGCCATGTTGATTGAAACACACGCATGAGTGCTTTCGACAGCTTTCGAGCTTTCGACAGGGCAAAATAAGTTTCTGCCACGGAGCTGGCCTTTTGTGGTCATGCGGCATGTCGGTTTCGGCCGAAAACGCTGCAGGTCTCACGAAAAACGCGGCCAGGTGCGTTTTTCTGAACTGGGAAGCCATTGTGGTGGGTGCTGACTCCACTGCCAAACTTTGGCACAGTTCTTGGCAGAAAGGACCAAGGCCTTGGTGGCCGCCAAGGTTGGTACTCGCTTTTCAATTTCCACTGCGCCTTAAAGTCGGCTGCGACTCTGAGCGATCCAGCCGACGGCAAAAGGTGACGGCGCCGACGGCGCCGACGGCGCCGGGTCTGCCATGCTGGGTCCGTTTACGGATGCCTGAAGCCGGGCGACGCGAGCGATCAAGCCCCAAAAGGGCCACACAAGTCACTTGGGCTTTGGGTGAGTGAAAATTCTGCAAAGCTCCGTCGCCAATCCGCACAGTGAAGGCTTCCGTGGCAGAGCGGCTGGAGAAGACAAGCGCCGGATTCCGAATCAGACCCGAGAGTGACTCCGGACTGTGGATGTCTGATACTCAATTCAGTGCAGAGGATGACACCAAATACATGCGTAGCACATTGGGCGGACATCACACAACATCAAATACTTGCGCAACACATTGATCCACATACATGCTTAGCGCACTTCAGTGCACAATGTTGATGCACGAGAGAAGACGGCTCATTTGATGACTGGATCTTCTCGGCATGTGAGAGATTCAGCCCTGTTTCGGTTTTGTTTGAAGGAACTTCTCTTCAATTTGTCGACGAGTAAGCCGACATGGTTTGTGGGCTGCTGCGACTTCGTGAACAGACAATGCATCCAGCATTGACTCAATGGGCAAATGGATCCAATGCCTTCCATTTCTTTTTTTTGTACTCATGAGGGGCTCCGGCTGGGTGTGGCTCAAGATTATTCAGAGGCAGCCCGCAGGTTTGGTCTACTCATCCATGTACCAGGGATCGGGCACTGATTTTTGAGCCACACTTGCATTAGCCGTTTCAATTTGCTCACTGCCCATTGCAACCACTTACGCAGCAGCATGGCTCGGCCTGGGTGTGCTGATTGCGATTTGCATTGGGATCGGTGACAGCCAGTGCTTAGGGCCGCCTCAAGCCCAATCGAAGAGGACCATTCGGACTGCCACTGTTAAAAAAAATATCTAGCCTGGTAAAGCAAATGTGACTGGTTGAATTGTAGCCCTGCTTTTGATCAGCCCCATTGTGCTTGGCACATGTTGGGCCACGCTTTGTCAAGGGTGGCAAACATATCCGCGTGGGCATTGACGGCTGGATTTAAATGGCTCAAATGGGCCATCGCAAATGCAAACATCCCGCACAGACGGACACTTTTTTTGTTTTTGTTTGCATTTGCACTAGACCCGCCAACTAGCCCAGGTTTTGGAATTTATAAGTAACCATCGCATGTGTGGGTTCACACGTTTTTGCAGCGCCTACTCAAATGATTCAAGTGGCCCACACAAGCATCGAATGGTTTCAGTTCCACAGGCTAGACGAGGTGCCGCAGGCTGTCTATAGCTTGCTTCCGGCCTCACAGACGTCAGCCTGCTCAGTGCCAAACACGGCACTGGCTGCGTGCTTTGGACGTGTTGTGAACGACTCACAGACCTTCCATTCGCAGCACCAATAGTTTCCTTGGGGTCGAGAAGAGGTAGCGTCGAGACCCACGTTCCGACTGCTTGCCCGCCTCACGAGCTGGTGAGATTGGTTAGTTGCAAGCATGATATTCGTGATGGATTTGAAGAGGAAAGCAGTTGTCGCCAGTTTCTGTTCCAGCGCACGGTGCCGCCACGCTGGTCTGAGTTACCGGATCTGACACGCTGCTCCCACCGACACGAAAAGGTGAGACAAAGGTGAGGGCGGGGAGGGCTCGCCCGAGGCCGAAAGAGAAAAAACACCGGGGCTTTCGGCTTTCCATTCTCCCACTTGCCAGGGCCTTTGATAAATACATAAGTTATATTCTGTTTTTTTTCTAAACCCAAACCAGTTTTTTCTCATACTGTAACCGGACCCATGAAAGCCGGTGGCTGTCGAAGGGCGCTCCTCCTAAGTTCCTGTCAGAAAAAGCGCATCGTTCGCTTCTGGCTCTGCATCTTGGCCCACGACTTCGGACTTCGGAAGGAGATCAACGCTCCGTTTGTGCCATGACTCAGAGATCACGTCGTGGGCCAAGGTGCCTTTCTTAAGGCATGCTCGGTTGCTCAGCGACTTCGAGCTGCATGGCATGCTGCCAATCGCGCGAGAAAAGATGCGAGCTGCGCGAGACATGCCGCGCGGCAGGTGCTTTTGTGTAGACTTGTGCATTTGTGTTGCGTGTTGGATTCTTTGACTCACCAAAGGGACTCGATTCTCGTGCTTGAGTTCGTTGTTTCGAAGGCAAGGACTGGCAAGGACTCAGATTTGAAGCGGAAGAACTGATACAGGAGCCTGCGTGAAGGCTGCCGGCTGGAACGTCGAAGAAACAGCCCGGCTTGAAATTTCGAGTGAACATCAAACTTGGGACACCGCATGCGACCTTGTACAGATTACGCTTCTCACGAAAGAAGCATCCACTGAATGTCGAGGTTCATGTGGGCAGTTGGCAGTTCGAATCCTATGCAACCGAGGCCAGGAAGCACAAGACCTGAAAGTGCGCATCCAGGAGTGCAAGCCGGGGGGCGCCTGCACCCCGTAGGTACCCACTGTTTGCCGCTGGAGGGTTGACAGTCGCGTGCTCATTCAGAAGTTTCCAAGCCGAGCCACAGGAGCAATTGGCAACTCCTGAAGGCGAGGATGACATTCGCAAGGGATTGACCATAATTTGAAGTTCACCCCACGCGCTTATCAATCAAGAAAGCTAGCAGCGGGGTCAATTGCGGAAGGTGCACACTCCCAGCTCAGTTGCCACGATTTCGCTTTTTATTTTCACGGATTTGATCTCCAGAGTTCCCAGGCGCTCGTGTGACCTTGTGAGTTTCCAGGCCCTGCGGGGACTGCAAAGCAGCCCACCCCCAAAGGCCGCTGCTCAGCTGAAGTTGGGAACAGCGGCACCCGCCGCCAGTTTTGCGCCAGCTCCCCAACTACAGCCACCTACACGCGCGCACGTCCACGGCCTGCTAACCTCTGGGCTGTTTTGGCTTTGTTGGCCTCAACTCTCCCCTTTCCCACCACAGCACATCGTCACAACGAAATAAGATTCCGGAGTGAGAGCGCAGTAGCCTGTGCAGGCCCGAAGCCGGAAGCGGCACAATCCGTTTGGTAGCGACTTTGGGCAGTTTGGGTTTGGCAGCCAACCGAGGAGAGAAGAAAGAGCCAACGAAGGCTGAGGCTTCCTGAATGCACTTGGATTGTGCATCTGATGGATCATTTTAGGGCGGCAGTGGCCGCTCAATGAACTTGCCTTCAGGATTCAGGCTACAAACGAATTCATGTCAAAGAAGTGGATGAAGACAAGAAGGCACCGGTCTGGCCTGTCGTCGCTGGCTTTGGAGCTTGACCTCTTCTGGAAAGATTGATTGATTTTGGCCTATCATGCAGATGGCTCAAGCTGCCATAGCAGCCACTACCTTGATAGAGACTCGGAGGGGGGCTCTCTTTGACACTTTTGCTTGTTGCTCCTTCCGAATGATTATGTTGGACAGCTCGGCCATGTGTTTGCCAGGAAGCATCGAAGCCGGAAACGCAGGGTGCCGAGATTGTCGGGGGAGTACTAGACACCTTGCTTCTCATTTAGCCAACATGCTAAATGAACGCTTCGCCGCAGCCCATGTTTTTTTTGCTGATCCTGGGTTTGACGAGTTAGTGAATAAGTCAAAGATCCGTTTTCCACAACATGTTATGGAAAAGGTTTGGCGGCATATCTTCAGAAGTCGGGGATTTTGGGTTGAGATCTCAGATCAGATCTGCGAGGACGGCCGAGAAGACGCACGCGCTGTGCTCAGCCGTCAATCTCTGGGCATATTTTCGCCGCTGACGTTCCTGGTGTCTGTGAGAGGACACACGTAAGTTCCTGTTTCTGGCAACCAGCCATTTGCCCTTTTTTGTTCTTGGGAACAAAGAGCATTGCGGCTTTGTCCTCAACACGGCAGAATCCGATTTCTTGTGAGCACATGGGGATGATGCGGTGTGTGAGGAATCCTCGACACGGGTCTCTGCAAATCACGCGACCATGAGGTCAACGGCCATGCACAGCAAGAGCCGTACCCTGACATCCAATTGGAGTTGGCCGCCTAGCCTTGACCTCCTCTCAGGGATCCACTGAACCGATGCAACAAGGCCATGGGCAAAGGTTCTTGTGCACTTCGAAGGGCAACCTTTTGTGTCAATCTCTCAGGCCCACCATGCAAGGGGCAGAGAAGGCGAGTGATTCTGATCCGCGATGGCTGGAGCCCTCACGCGGTTCAAAGTTCTCGAGGGCGCCCCTTTTTGGGTGGGAAAAAAGGAAAGGGGTGGAAAGAAGGGACACCAAGAGGACCCCCACAATTATTGGGCCCCCCCAAAAAAACGAGCCACACTGCGTGCACGTCACGTCTCTTTCCCCAAAAATCCAACGCCCGCAAGGCGAAGCAGCGCGCCAACGAGTTGTTTCAGAAAGGCGGGGTCATGGGCCCAGGAGCTTTGATTGGACAGTTGGCCTCAGGCAGCCTGGAGGAGTCTGCCAGGTGGGCCGCGAATGTGCCCAGAGTCAGCTCCATGTCTCCGTAAGATTCGCCTTGAGGTGGTTCTCCAAGGCCATTTGGCTGCTTGAGTCCGGCAAGGTTCCTGGGGTCGGAGCCTTGAGTTTGTTGGCTTCGCGCAACTTGTGATGTTGAGAGTGGGAATGCGTTGAGATCAAATGGTCGAAGGCGCTCCGCACACATCAGGCCACTGCCTCGTTGCGCTCCGTTCTCCACTCCAATCGTGCTGGGCGCTCAGCGGTCGCCGTTGCCGCAGTTGCTGCGTTCGCCTTCTTTCTCTTGCGAGGCGTTTGCTCGCTCGAAGCTGCAGCAGTGGACGGGAGTGGAGGAGGACTGCACCGAGGCGTGAAACGCTTGGCTCGACCGCGGGGATTGTTTCGCCAGAGGCTTTGGCGCTGAATGAGAGCAATGCCAAGGCCGGAGCAAGTCTCAGAAAAGAAAAATGCAAGGTGTCACCCTTGAGGCAGCAGCCAAGGGGAGAACGGGGGGGGCGGCAGTTGGGTTCAGTTGATTTCGGACTCGGCTGACAGGCACTCTACCGTCGTTCCCAAGCCCGCTTGGAGCAGGACTCCCAGTGCTCGCGATGTGATGGATGCGGTCTGGCAGGGGGATGCGGTCTCAAAGGGGACCCCTTCCTAAGGAGAGTCGTGTGCTGTACCTCCTGCTAGGTCTTTTTTTTTAGTGATACTTGCATGTCTACGTCATCTGGCTAGTCACTGCTAGTCTGCTTCAAAACTACCAACACCACCGCCTGTCAAAGTTGATCTGAATCATGTGGCAACTCTGCTTGAACAGTGCTGCATCCACTAGGGGTCAATCATCCGAACAATGTGCTTCAACATAGTAGACAGCTCCTTTCAGTTGGATCACTGCAATTCAAGAGTTTGTTTCATTTGTGAATGCATTTAAATCGAATTTGACAAGGACGGAATTCCAGTAGAACTTCTAGCTTCGCTAGAACTTCTAGCTTCGCTTCATTTGGACATTTAAGTAGGATTTCCTTTGTTAACAGCATGTCAATGAGGGTTTAAGTACAATCCGTATTTCGAATTGGTTTCAAAGGTGAATTCCGTTCTCAGGAGATTCTTATTTAAAATCAGATTTCGAAGGTGATTTCCTTCCTTGGAGGATGGTTCCATTTTTATTTAAATGATAAAGTATCAAGGCACGAAGTCTGGTGGAATTTCAATTAGAACGTGATTAGGATCTCCTTTTTGCAGAGGATTTTAATTGGGTTGTAATTAGATATCTTGCTTCAAATGATATTCTCATTAATCTGTTTGTCAGAGTTGAAATAGACATTAGTACGAACACAATTCTAGTATAATTTCTAGTTTCAATTCGAGTCTAAGCATGATGCCCGTTTTAAAGAGGATTTCAGCTAGATTTCACTTAGTATTCTTATTTCAATTTAGACTTGAAAGTGGAAATCTTTCCCAGGAGGCTTTGCTCTTCTTCTTTAAAGCTAGACTGTATATTAATATAGAGTTGAACAAAGTCTAGCTGAATCTCTAGCTTCTGCATTTTTTTCCGGGACAGTCCACACTTTTTGGGGCTTACTCAAAACCCGAGGTTGGCCCCACAACAAAACATCCTGACAAGCTCGGGCCCTCAACAAAAACGACGACTGTCCCAAGAAGCAAAGAACGATCAGTCTCTTCAGCTCTTTGCCTGCCCAAGACCCGCGGCGTTGGTTTGTTTGTTGGTTTTTGGGGGCAGTCTCGTGTTCTTTTCCCGCAAGCATGGCGAAGGGTTCTTCCGTTGGATTCATGGGAGTCATTGCAAAGAGTTATCCTCCTCAGAGTCATTGCACAGAGTCATCATCATCATGAGAGTCATTGCAAAGAGTTATCATCATTGCACAGAGTTATCATCATCAGAGTCATTGCACTGAGTCATCATCATCAGAACCATTGCAAAGAGTCATCATCATCAGAATCATTGCAAAGAGTCATCATCATCAGAGTCATTGCGCAGAGTCATCATCATCATGAGACTCATTGCACAGAGTCATAGCAGAGAGTCACTTGCGAGGCGCAATGCTCGTGAGAGTCACTGGCGAGGAGCAATGCTCATGAGAGTCACTTGCGAGGAGCAATGCTCGTGAGAGTCACTGGCGAGGAGCAATGCTCATGAGAGTTCTCACCCATGACGAGATTTAAATTCCTTTCTTCTCTTCTTAGGGCGGCGGGGTAGGGCCACTCTACGAAAATTAGCCCTCTGCGGAGATTTGTGTGGTCGAGGTCAAAAAGCTGAGGACTTTTTACGATTTCTGATCTGTGCGAGCGACCCTCTGCGCAGATTCGTGTGGTCGAGGTCAAAAAACTGTGGACTTTTTACGATTTCTGATCTGTGCGAGCGACCCTCTGCGGAGATTCGTGTGGTCGAGGTCAAAAAACTGACGACTTTTTACGATTGCTGCGGTGTGCGAGCGACCCTCTGCGGAGATTCGTGTGGTCAAGGTCAACAAACTGAGGGTTTTTTTTTGCGATTTTGACATTCCAGGATGAACCCTCTGCGGGGATCGGCGTGGTCGATGTGCAAAAACTGAGGGTTTTTTCGATTCTGAATATGCTCGCGCGACCCTCTGCGAAGATCGTGCGTGTCGAAGCGCTCTCGCTGTAACGCCGTGCAAATTTGTTGCTTGCGAAGTGGTCTTTGGAAGTTGTCGCGTGGTTTGCGCGGCTGCTCTCGGAGTCGCGCGGTCGCGGGGTCGATCCCCGCCTGGTCCGCAGAAGCTTTTCTAGACAGAAATCGCAACTTGTAAATAAGTGCGAGGAAGGGCAGTACGCGGACGCAGCTCCGGCTGGAAAATCGCAGCGCGCGGAGTACAGTCCTGCAGCTCCGGCTGCATAATGGAACTTTTCAATCAGAAAACTAGTGTGCGAAGTACTTCCCGAAAGCTCCGGCTTCACTTGCGCAGAGCAACTTGCACAGAGCGCTGCTGCTTGCGCAGAGAAACCTGCACAAAGTCGCTCGTGGCCGCATCGAGCAAAAAACTTGCGCGGAAATGATCGCCGGGATGTGATGCTTTCGGGCCAACCGTGGTCTAGTGTTGTTTTTTGCGGGCTTGAGCTTGTTAGGATAGCGTGTTTTTTGGGACAGTTCCACACTTTGTTGGGGTCGGCGTTGCAAAATGCGAGACTGTTTTTGCGAGACTGCTCCCCCCAAACACGTATGTAAATACAAATATATATATATATATATATATGTATGTATATATATATATATTTTTTTTTATGTGATTAGCCATGTCTTCAGAGGTCATTCGGAGACGTTGCAATAGCAACTATCCGTTGGCTTTTGGCCCAAGTAGCATGGTCCCGTCGCAACCTCGAATGCGCGTCGCCGGACCCTTGCGTCGACTGACGGGATCTTGGGGGAGAAAGAGACCTCAGGCTGCTGCCAGGTTGGTAAGGTTAATCCGTGCGGTCGATTGTCGGCCAAGGCCGCGGGTAACCTTTTCTTTTTTGGGTTGTTTACTGTGTGTTTGGTCACTTGTGTGGGAAACCCTGATCTTTGGGACCGGGGATTGGCTGTTGTTTTGGGGCCTTGCTTTTGTTTATCCCAAGTAACCCTTTGCCTGGGCACAGGTCCGTGCCCGACTCACAGGTTATCAGCCGTAGGGCTTTCCATGCGTGTGCTTGTGACCTTTGACTACAAGCACTTATGACGTCGACCCCGCGAAGCTCTCGAAGGGTCGTGGGCGAGGAGGCTATCTTGAGTGGCCTCCGACCAGTTGATGATTTGCCTGACTTCAACTACGAGGATTTTGAGGTACGTTCGGCAGGTGGCAGTCGTTTGGGTGTCGCGGCCGCGGCAGATTTGTGAGTGATGACAGGTTTTCCCATCAGGTTACTGATGATGAGCAATCCCAACGAGCTCGCCCTGTTAGGGGCGGCTCCGTGCGATCCAGGCCAAGACGAGGACGACTTCGTCAACTTCGCGATGAACGTGGCTAGGCCGTCGAACCTCATCCTGTCCGGTCTCAAGGGCTCTTAAGCCCGGCGGGCGCAGGACCGAACGTGTTGAAGAGGACATTGATCGGGGTTTCCAGGATCAGTTGATGCGGGCTCCGGGCGATAGCCTGGGCCGCTATGTTGAAATCCAGACTCCTGGACAGGCCGCTGAACCATCAGGCATGAGTCTCATGGACATCTTGAGTCTGAGGCGGCACGTATGGACGCTGTTGATAGGGAGAAGTTCCGGAGCACGTTTTGGGAGTAGCGCTGTGAGGCCATGCTCAAGCAGGCGTCAAGGTGAATGGGCCAGCGTGTTTAGGCACAACGAGCTTGATCTGTTCCTTGTCGTGTACGTGGATGACTTCAAGATGAGTGGTCCAGCGCAGAATTTAGCCACAGGATGGGCTTTGATCTCTAAGCTTATCAAAAAGATGGAGGAACCTAGGCTCAAGAGATATCTTGGGTGCGATAAGGAGCCGCCGGACTTGAGGTTTGGTCCCTTTCTAAGGACATCCCTAAACCAGTAACAACGATCAGGTTCATCAAGCACAGTGAGAGCAGCTTCGTGCAGGCATGTGTCGATAGACACATTGAGCCGTGTCAAGGGAAATACCCCAAGAAGCTGCAAAAGGTGAGTTTGATGAGAATCCCGTTTTCCCCAAGTTCGTCAGGATCTTCAAGCAGGCAATGGATATGGAGAAGACGAATGCGCAGGTTGCCTTGGCAATGATGCGGCCGCGGTACTGATGAAGATCTTGTTAGGATGGGCAGGTATAATCTCATTTGTCCCGTGCAGGCGTTAGCCAGCAGGGTCACCAAATAGCATCATCTGTGCGATCGGAAGCTTTGCCGTTTAGTTTCTTACGTGAACTCCGCTCTTGACCTTCATCTTTATGGATGGGTGGGCGAGAGCCCGGAGTTCAGCGAAATGGTTGCTTACTGTGATGCGGGCCAAACAGACTCAAAGAGCGCCTCTCAAATGCTCATCTGTTTGGTTGGTCCTAGGACCTATGTGCCAATCACGGCAGTAAGCAAGAAGCAGACGTTGGTCTCCAAATCGACGCCTGAGGCGGCTTGATCATGGTGTGTCAAAAGAGGGTGTGGCGTTGGCCGCGCTCTGGAATCACGCCACTGGAAAAGGGGAAGAAGCCCAGCCTCCCACGCACGATTAATGTGCTGGGGGATATCGAGTCTGCCTGCCAAATCGTTATTACTGGGAACAAACCCAACAGCTATATGTCACGGACTCAGCGCGTTTCAACGAGCAGTTCAAGGAAGGTGTGTTTCAGTTCGCTGCATGCCCGTCCCACTATCAGATTGCGGACATTTTTACCGAGGCGTGCAAGGTCGTATGGAACCGTAACCGTCTTCAGCCCCCTGCCGCGGGGCGAGTCAGCGGCCAAATGCGCTGTTCACGCCCCCCGAGATTGTTGTTGATGATGACGGAGGGTCGCCTCGATAGGGGATATGATTAGCTGGGATAGGACGCGTTTGCTGAACATCGCGGCAAGGAACTGCCCGGTGATGCGAGGATGTGGATGAGTGGAGGATACTCCCATTCCACAGAATTCAATTGGTCTTGTTACGCGCGATAGGCGGGAGTGCTATCATTTGGTTACTAAGTACCAACATGGTTTTCTGATATGAATGAAAACTTGCATCTCTGATGCAAACAGTAGTGACCTGTTGTCATTACGTGGACCTCTCCACAGGGTTTGTTGTTCGGGGTGGTGGCGGGAATTTAATGCCCGGGATGTTGCGCAACTGCCTATGCGGGCTGGCTCCGGACGAATGTGAGCTTTGATTCCTATCAGTAAACGGCATGATCCGCCCGTCTAAGACGGGCTCCGCGTGAGGGTGTGACTAGCCATGCCTTCAGAGGTCATTCAGAGACGTTGCAATAGCAACTATCCGTTGGCTTTTGGCCCAAGTAGCATGGTCCCGTCGCAACCTCGAATGCGCGTCGCCGGACCCTTGCGTCGACTGACGGGATCTTGGGGGAGAAAGAGACCTCAGGCTGCTGCCAGGTTGGTAAGGTTAATCCGTGCGGTCGATTGTCGGCCAAGGCCGCGGGTAACCTTTTCTTTTTTGGGTTGTTTACTGTGTGTTTGGTCACTTGTGTGGGAAACCCAGATCTTTGGGACCAGGGATTGGTTATTGTTTTAGAACTTTTCTTTTGTAACTTACTTACCCCAACTAACCCTTCGCCTGGGCACAGGTCCGTGCCCGAATCACAATATATATCAAACAATCCTGCGAGACACTTCTATTTAGATTCTGATTAAAAGCTTGAACAACACTCCAGGGAAAGGATATCACCCTTAAAATCTAATTTGAATCAAGAACTATAGCCCCGAAATCTAAGACACGCTCAAATCGTGTGATCTTGACCGCTTCAGTGATCTCAGGCTCAACAAGCTCGATGCAGCCCTGGAAGACGTGCAGCAGCTCTTGCCACTGCTGGTGCGGCTGACAGCGAGCCATGTGAGTAGGGAACGCCGTCTTCCATCAGAGTGAGCGGTTTGTGTTTGTTGCCGGTCGCCAGGCTGCGCCGGCCGATCAGGAGGCTCAGGATCTGAAGAAACGCATCCTTGAGCCTGCTACTCAGGCTGAACTTGCCTTGCCCTCCGCCGTTCCTGCTTCTTTCAACCCGTGCGCGAACACACGCAGGCAAGAACGCATGCAGACACAAACACAAACACAAACACAAGCACAAGCACAAACACAAGCACAAACACAGACACAGACACAGACACAGACACAGACACAGACACAGACACAGACACAAACACACATACACACACATATATATATATATGTACATATACATATATATATATATATATATATATATATGTATATCTAGATATACACATGTTCCTAGTCCCCAGGCCGCACACCCCCCCCCGCAAAGGGTAGGGTTCCCTCTCTCCCCCGCATCAGGTGCATCATGGGGATGATGCTGGTAAATTTTCGGGATTCCAGGAGATGCGGGCTTTACACATATGCGCAGCACAACCATAAAGTGTTTATCAGCAACACTGCATGGGAGCTTCCGGGCTGTAATTAAACAGCGGAATCTGGAGGCGAACCCAAGCGTACTGCGGAGAAAGCGGTTTCCAACCCTCTTCAACAGCATTCCTAAAAACTGGACTTCCTCTCATGGAAGATGATTTCGAGCAAATGTCTCTGTCACAAACTGATCACAGCGCCAATAACAGCATGCAGATGAGGCACTATTTGATATTGCAGAGGAACCCCATATGTTACGTGCTTTGGGGCCCGTTCCTGCGGGAAGCGCCCTTAAGTGTGAAACTCGGGAGCGCTTCTGCAACCTTGTGAGCCGAACTTGCCAGTGTGCAGTTTCAATCGTATTTGAGTATTCCTGTTCCCTCCCAATCAAGCTCTTCCATTTTCCAACAAGTCTCGCACTTTGAGACATAGACCGGAAGCTCTAGAAGGCTTTTCATGCCTCTCAAGGTTTCGAGCAAGTTCAAAATTCGAGAGTAGAGTTCTTTGAAATGTGTTCGGCTTTATATTCAATATATTCTCCTAGCGTTTCTAGTTGGTGGTAACGTCACAGGTCGCCTGCGCACGGTTTGCAATCTTGCAGAAAAAGAAATTCGGCAGAGTCACCGACAATCGCGCAGTGCTCGGGGAGGGGGGTGGGGGAGGGGGTTTTGGTTGCCTTCATCGGATGGTTGTGTTGATGCCGGATTGTGGAAAATGCATGGTTGAAGTCATCACACATGAGATGCCCTGTTGCAGACACCCTAGCCCTGCTGCGGCCCGCTAGCTCCTGCACATTGTTCTTGTACGCGCTCTAGCCCACGTTATACTCCTTCGTATGGCCGGCATTGGCTGTCCAAAGCCTTGGCCACCTTACTTCACAGCTGCAAGAAAGCGATGTTGCCCCACTTCTATGATGACTCAAAAGCCTCCTTGACACAGGAAACACAAAAAGGGGTGTTACAGGAGCGGGCGTGTCGCGTTCACCGCGAGCAAACCGTTTTTTGTGAACCATTCCCGAGCCACAGGTCTGGCACTGAAACGTTTATTGCATCTAGATGGGGGCTCAAGCTTCAAGATCTCCCAGATAGTTTTTTGCACAGTCATGAAATTTGTGCCTGGGACCTCCGATGGTTTAGATTTGATCTGAAGTGATCTAGCTTCAATATTCAAAACAATCCTGATTTTTGGGACTGCCCCGAATCTCGAATCCTCCAAAAGCCAGATGAAATCTAGAAAGTCAGGGCTCCGGTTGCAAGATTCTACATGCACTTTTCTGGAAGATGTAGAATCTTGATTCCTCCAAGGTCCAGATGATTCTAAACAACATTGGAATTTGGAGCCACAGAGCGTACCGCTCCCAAAACCTCTCAGAAGTGCAGTAGATTACCAGGGACACAAGGGATACTATGGTGTTCATTTTTACGTATATGTGTATGTATGTGTATATGTATATGTATATGTGTATGTGTATGTATACGTATATGTATATGTGTATACGTAGATGTATATGTATATGTAAATGTATATGTGTTTGTTCTACATATATCTGTGTAAGATGTAGTACCGTGGGTCATCAGCCGGAAGGGCAGAGAAAGTGCTGCTTGAAACGCAAACATATATGGTAAATGGTACGGTTAGCGCTGAGCCCTCCTTCAAAGGGAACCCACGCAGGCCAAATGGTAGCGTTCGGGCAGCCCTGAGTTCACGTTCAAGTGAACCCGCGTTTTCCATTACCTAGTTTGGCTCTGGAAAGATTCGGGTCCACGCTGGGGGAAGGAACAGCTCTGGGCATGGATTAATTTTGCCACCCCTCTCAAGGTAGTGACTTTGTCACGGGCACAGTCAGTCAGTCTCGCATGTAACGCGCCAGTCGCGCGATCTCACGGCTGTGATGGAACAAGAGCTCAAGCCACATCTCAAAAGCGATGCAGCCGCATTGAACGCCAAGCGAAACGAGTGTTTCAAAACAGTGACGGTAGGGGGGGGCCACCTTTCTCCAAAAAGGGTTTGGCCTTGGCGCAAAGAGCGTTTGTCTTGAAAAGTAGCACAATTTTGAATTCTTCTGGATGTATGTATATGTAATGTGCCAAGACAGATACATGTACACGTATATGTGGATGCATATACGTAAACGTGCATACACAACACATTTACACGCATATGCATACCATATGCATACCATATGCATACCATATGCATACCATATGCATACCATATGCATACACATATACAGACACTTGAAAGATGCCCCTTTTGAATTTGACAAGCGATTTGAGTGTGCGAATGTATGAGCGTGAGTCCAGCTGCAGTCACACGCGTGCGCGCGTCTCTTCGGGCGTGCGGGCGGGCGGGCAAGCTGCGGGAAACGTGCGTGGGCGGGTGTGCAAGAATGCACTCGTCCGTGCATGTGGACAAATGCAAATTGCCATTCGGGCAGTTCGCGCTCCATTTTTGTTGGCACAATCCTGCTGCAAGGCAACAGGCCAAAGCAAAGAAGACGCGTCTCAGCTGCTTTGGACCACAGTCAAGGCCACAATATGACTATTGAATGGGAACTCATCCAAAATAGTCGGATGTCCACCAAAGGGTTTTTGCATTGAAATGTCTTCCAACATCAGAACATGGGGAGAAATCGAGCTGATGGCAGTTGCGCAAATCACAATCAACACCCGGGCAAGTGAAGGTTAGTAAGGGACAATCCCAACCATAAAAAACTGCGGCCGCCTTCTTAATTCTTGAAACATGGTTCTGGGTCGAGCATTTTAATACCGGGTTTTGATTATGACTCAAATGACAAGACCAAGGTTGGAGAAGGCCAAGGAGGCGTCGGTCAAGGCGGAGCCGAAGCCCGAGCGCGCAACCGTTGCGGCGTGTCGCTTGAGGGGGTCTTGGCTTTTGGGCTACTTGTGTTCAACCCATTTCTTCGCTGGCGGTGTGTCCGCGGAACAGAATAGCGGAACATTGACTGGTCCACTTCAGAGTCAGGGCCAAGCACAGCCACACAGCCAGGGGTTTATATTGAACGGCGAGCATCACACCTGTGGAGCCGTGGCTTTTGCCTCAAAAGGCGAAGATCAGCAAAAAGCTGAAGTTTGAAGTGCAGGCACCTGCTGGTGACAACCATCAGAGCAGTTGTTCGATCAGCATGATCAGGAACTTTTGTTTGTTTTGCAGGAAGTTATCAGCAATGTGTCCGTGAAAAAGAACAACCATATGAGGGTACCCTTGCGAGCCAAAAGGAAACCCAAAGGAAGCCAAAAGGAAATCCATTTTTGGGTTCACCCCCATGTTGACATAAGCCTCATGGAATCTTGAGATGCAGCTCTAGTGAGCTTCTTCCGACTGGCTCGCTGGCTTTGAAGGGCGTGCGCTGCATTCTGGGGCACTTTGAAGCTGGCAGAGCTGTTGATCCATTTGATCGATATCGAGGCCGATGTGATTTGTTCAAACTTGGGAAATTTCGACGCACCCCGAACAGAGAAATATACCAGGAGCAACAATTGCAAAGTGGAAACTGGCAACCAAGCCCTGAGTTGATTAACTTTGGTGAACGACCCTTGGCATAGCACGCATGGCTAGAAGGTTTGGTTGTATCCTTGCATTGGCAGGAGTTGTGCAGCCCCGCTTCTTTTTGAAACGACACTCTCGTTGACCCCACACGCACACAACCTGTGAATCATGAGCAAGCTGCCGCTTGCCAGGCTCTTCGCTTCCGCAAAAAACATGCCCGCAGTTCCGCAAGCAAATTCCCTCCCCCTTCAATGTTTACGACAATGTTTACCGAAGCTGGTCTCATGGCTGCCTGATAATGCCGTCAACCTGCCCCAAGCTCGCTCACACTGATAGCAAGCTATACAACACAGCCATGCAACTAGCAGCCAACGCAATCCAACCAAGGCAGCGAGATGATGCCAAGGCGGCGAGATTTTGGCGTGGGCACACCGAAGTGATTCGTAGCAGCCCTTGGTCCGTGCCAAATCATGAGTGTTGGAGAATGACAAGTTCTACCACGAGACATGGGGAAGTTGCATTTTGAAGATGTGTCTTTTCGGAGGCTCCGCCACCTGCGGGCTTCAAGCGCATGGAAATCGTAGAGGCGAGGTGCGATGCTTGCCCGGGCATGTATAGCAATTTTTCCAATCGAAACACTCTTCTCAGAAGAGATTTCTCGTTAAAGTTCTTCGTTACTTTGTTTTGTAGGATTCAATCGAGAGTCTCTTGGTCTGTTTCTGCTGCTTCCGCATGTCCTCTCCTGACTCGTCTTGCGCATGATTCTTGTTTGCAGGCCAGCGACTCCGAGGAGGAGGAGGAGACTAAGGCTCCCACCAAAGTGGAGGCGCCCAAAGCGACACCGACCTCTGAGAAGGCGTGAGGGCGGGGGAAAGTTGTGCGGCTGGGAGACGAACTCTCCACTGAGGGCGTTGGCCAGGCTGCATTGATCTTCTGCAGTTTGAGCTAGTGCGTGACGTGCCTTGGCTGTCCCACAGACAGGTGAGCCGAAATCCCAAGTCTTTTTTTGGACACTGCAAAGCTTGACCCATGTCAAGTACGAAGCGGAGGTGTACGTTGGGACCTTGTTGCTGCACAGATGTGTCTTTGGGAGGCCCCGCCACCTGCGGGCTTCAAGCGCATGGAAATTGTAGAGGCGAGGTGCGATGATTCCAATCTCGAAGGGGGAATCCCGGGGAAGATTCTTTTCAGAAGCGATTTCTCATTAAAGCTCTTCGGTCCTATGTTTTGTAGGATGCAATCAAAAGCTTTTTTGCATGTTTGTGGTGCTTCCGTATGTGCTGTCCGACTCGTCTTGCATCATTCTGGTTTGCAGGCCAGCGACTCCGAGGAGGAGGAGACTAAGGCTGCCGCCAAAGTGGAGGCGCCCAAAGCAGTGCCAGGGCCTTGTCACTCGGGTCTGTTAGACAAGCCGTGCATTTCATATCGGCGGCATATTTCTTGAATCAGCAACGCTTTTTTGCCCGCATGTGTTGGCTTGCGACAGCATGTATTGTGCAAACTGTTGATGGTGCACTCACGGCGGGCTCTGGCTGACTATTAGCCTTGGCCCATAGCGCGCTTGCCTCCACATCCATCCATCCATCCATCCATCCATGCATGCATGCATGCCTGCATGCATGCATCCATCCGCCCGCCCGCCCGCCCGCCCACCCACCCACCCACCCATGTTTGGCGCCTCGTGGTGGGGCATGCGTGGTGCTCTCTTGGGTGGTGTGCGTGCGCTCGAACGAGTTGTCTCTTGAGCGGTGAAAGCCTGGCTCCAGAAAGGCAAGGCCCGGCAGTTGGTATTTTTGTGGTGATGACGCTGACACAGGCAACAAGGGGTCTTGGCACCAATTCACTGCAGAAGGAAGCCCGAGAAAGGTGGCGCTCGTTGCATTGCTTGCTCAAAGCAGTCGTGAAGCATCGCCTTTGCATCAGATGTGGACGACTAACCTCAGCTAGAAGGGGCCATGTTCCGAGGTTAACATCAAGCCAAGACCAGAAGGACAAAGAGATGTTTCCCGAGCTCAAGTTTGAGCGACGCGCTCAAGGAAGCGCCCGCGTTGATTGGTGGCTTCGAATTGACTATATTTGCGACCAAGCAAGGCAGATTCAGTTTTTGTTGTGCCAGCCAAATTGAATTTGCAAGGAATGTGTTTGTCGGATTTTTATAAGTGTTTCTTTTGTTTCTCTGTTGTCTGAGGTTCAGCCGCAAGGGTGTGGAGGCTGCAAAAAATACCGGCGGCCAGCTTTTTAGCAAGCAGGCGCAGTGCAGCGTGTGAACAGGTACATGACTGGTGAGATGGTCGGGGCGGGGTGGTCGGCCAGGACCTGCAGGGAGCGTCGCGACACTTCTCCAAGGCCCTGTGGATGCTGCAGTCGGGCAAGGCCGGAAGCCCGAGCCAAGAGGGGCTTAGGGGCATAAACTGGGTGTGGGTCAAAATTAAGTCACCCGGGGACCGCAGGTTGTAGTCTACTTTTCCATTTGCCAGGGTCCCATTTTGGGTACCTATTTTTGACCCACAGCCAACTTGCAACTGGCACTTTGCTGTGCTCTTCGGGGCATATTTTTTTTGGATGGAGCCCCAGATCAGGTTGCGGATGCTCAGAGCGACGCGCCGGGTTCCTGGACAGATGGCCTTGCTTGCCTAGCGGTGTTAGAAGTTCAGGGCCACAGCCTTTGGGTGAAACACATATTTTTTCTTGTTTTTTCATCAGTTTTCTTTTTTTTGGGGGGTTCCCTTTGCGTTTTTTACAAGTGTTTTTTTGGTTTACATCTCTTTTGCAATGGCTTTTTTTCTTGCCTTTGCAGTTGGCCGGGTTTGTGGAAGCGCATGCTCGGCTGCAAGCCGAGTGAAAGTCCTTGTGCCCGTAGTCTTGGGCGCTTGGCGACCGCTTTCTTTTGGGGCTAGGCCCTGGGTCTGGGGCCCAGGGGCCCAGGAGCCTAGCCCCCAGAGAGGCAGTCAGGCGTTGACAAGTGCTTTGCGCAGCTTTTTTTGCAATTTCTGTCCATTTCCTGCTACATTTCTTTTTGCCATGCTTTTTCGTTTTTTGCTTTTTGATCTTACCTATTGTTTACATTTCATCTACGTTTTTCAGGTTTGTTTTTGCATTTCCTGGACGGTTTGGCTCGAGATGTAAACGCTTTTATATTTCCCGGACCATTTGGCCCTAAATTTGCTTGTTTTTATTCCAGGCCGTAGCGGCGTGTATTCAATTTTCACCTTCCCCTTCCCCTCCCCGCCTTTTGCCCGCCCTGAAATGGCACCCGTCTCATTTGCCAAATGTAAAGAAAAACGTAAATATTGTTGACCCTTCATTTCAAGCCTCTGGCTGTGTGGGCCGCTCACAAGCCTAGCTGCTCTTGCTTGAGGGGCCAGATCCGCAGTCGACCCTGCCGAATCGCCAGGTCCTGGTGCAATGCCACCCGCTTGGCGCTGCATTCGAACAGGGCCTTCTCCGAGCTACGACAAGAGTGCCGCGGCAGAGATTGGCGGAACCACATGCCATTTGTTCCGTTTATTTTGGCTCGTCTGCGCCTGTGACAACCTTGCTTCTTGAGTTATTGAGGTGCGAGAGTCTTTTGTTCATTTCGGCGTGTGTTCGACGGATTTCCAGCTTGCTCTTCCTGGGGCCTTGATTTTTCTCTCCTGGGCATCTCTCTTTCCCCGTTTGAGCGCGGCTTGAGCTGTGTTCTTTCGTGGACCGTTCCTAGCCCATCTCTTGCCAGCCAGCCGCAAGCATGAATTGCAGTTTGAAGCCGCCTAAGGAATTGGAAGGCGGCAGAGGACGTTCAAACGACATATTTGTCCTCACAGTGCACATCTGCGCAGGACGACTGCACAGAAGCATTGAAGATTGATCCGAAGGCATGGACATGGCTGAGCATCCACTACTCACCAGTGATGAATCCCGTGCTAACGTGCTTGCGCTAGGCACTTGTGTTTGTATCCCACGACAAAGATTGCCTTTGCTTCAGCCTCTGCTCCAGGCAGTCAAGGCGCTGTACCGCCGGGCCATGGCTCGAGAAAAGATGGGCCGCGCCGCGGAAGCCTTGAAGGACGGCTCTTTGGGCACGCTTTTGCAATCCACGCCACGTCCGCCGTGTTGGGCAACCGGCAGGACGCTGACGAAGCTCTTAAGCTCCAGCCGGGGGCGGAGGACGCACGCTGGTCACTGCGAATGTACTTTTGTGCCTGACGGGCTCAAAGCAAGAATGGGATCAAGGCCTTGATCCCCTTGAATCCACCAGATGACAGAACGGTTGCATATCTTTGGAAGTATCTGCGCTGACGCTTGCCAGGAGCTTGTGACTCTTCAGAAGCGGCTGAAGGCATTGCCGGCGTGCCTAATGTCCTGGTTGATGTTTCGAGCTGCACTTGGTTCTCTGGTGCTTAGCTGTAGCTCGCCCATTGTTCCTTCCGGCGGCACCGCTGTTCTGTTTCTCTTGTTTGCCTCGTTTTCCGTCTGCTCGCTTAAGCTTTTCTCCGCGCTCGCTGGTCAGCAAACCTTGCTCACCCAACCGCAAACACCCTGCTCGCCTGTAAGAGACCCGTTTGACCATCATTGCGTATTTTTCTGACAAGCCATTTTGTTGCAATTTTTGCTGCCATCTTCCTTTTGACCTTTCCCTTGCAGCTTGTTTTTGGGTACTGGCCCCAGTCTTTGCTGGGAACCATCTCTCGATGTACGCCTTCGGCCTCGAAACGCATGAAACGCTCTTGCAGGCAGCTGAGACCCCTGCACCGCAGCCCAAGCCGGATCCCTAGGCAAGCGGCCGTCCCTTTGACGGAAGTCGCTGTTTGTCAAACCCGTGCGATTTGGAGACAGTGCAAGCGGTTGACCAGACTTTCGCGTCTGAAGAGAGCGATTACGCAGACCGCCGTCGGCTCCGAAGTCAAATTGACCTAGCTTTGCGTTTGGGGCTGTTTCCCACCTTTCTGAGGTCACCAGAAGATCAATCGCAGAAAACAGTGCCTGGGCTGAGTTTGGTGAGTCGAAAGCACGAGTCTCTGAATCATGCGTGAGACTGGTGTGTGTGTGTGTGTGTCCCTGGGAGGCCCCGCCACCCGCGGGCTTCAAGCGCATGGAGATTGTAGAGGCGAGGATGCTGGTTGTTTGCCCAGGCAACTTCAAAGCATCAGGCGAGCGACTCTGACGAGGAGGAGCCAGCACAGACTGCCCCCGCCAAAGTGGAGACAGCGAAGGCGACTCCGACCTCTGAGAAGGCTTGCCGGTGGCATTTGTGCATTCAGAACATGGACCGTTGTGATGTGCGCGTTCTTTGACTGATGGTGGTTGTGGTAGGCCATGAAAGACCAATAAATTATGGGACCAGCTGCAACTTTCCAATAAACCGAGCCGCAACTGCGCAGCCTGTGATTTGTGATTTCCATCCGATTAGCAATCCATTTTCAGAGCTCTCAAGGAAAGTGGGTTAGCGTCAGGTGCAGTCGAACTGGGAAGTGGGTTGGGCGCTGTGTTCGGCGTTGATTCGGACTGGAGGCCCCACCTCCCGCGGGCTTCAAGCGCATGGAGATTGTAGAGGCGGGGATGTGGGGTGTTTGCCCAGACATGTCACAGAGGCTTGGGAACTTCAGGGCGTCGGAAACAGCTTTTGCGGGGGCGGGTGGAGCAACCGTCTTGCAGTTTCAATCAGGCGAGCGACTCGGACGAGGAGGAGCCAGCAAAGACTGCCCCCGCCAAAGTGGAGACAGCGAAGGCGACTCCGACCTCTGAGAAGGCGTGCCGGAACTTTGTGATTTGTAGCGTGTTTTATTTGGCTGATGGTGGTGGTTGCGGTGTTTCTGAAGGCTCAATCCGTTCTTTGGCGGTGCTTTCAGACCCAGCATCAAGTGTTGAGACATGGCCTGTTGGAAAGGCCACGAAGGACCAAGACTTTCTTCCGGAGCTCAAGTTCGAGCGATGCGCTCAGAGTGGCAGCCCTTGCTTGGTCTTGTAGCACTGAGCTTTTTCCCAGCCAAAGCAGGAGCAAGACGAGGTCTTGCTTGCCAGCATGGTTGGAATGCCAGACAAGACCAAATGTACAAAGGGCGGTGTTGCGGATTGTGTGAGGGCACCCTTCTTATGCTCGTCCATGTTGCTTTGCTGTCTGAGGTTCAGCCGCAAGGGAGTGGAGGCTGCCAAGAATACCGGCGGCCAGCTGTTTAGCAAGCAGGCGCAGTGCAGCGTATGAACAGGTACATGACTGGTGAGATGGTCGGGGCAGGGTGGTCGGCCAGGACCTGCAGGGAGCGTCGCGACACTTCTCCAAGGCCCTGTGGATGCTGCAGTCGGGCAAGGCCGGAGCCAAGAGGGGGCTCAGGGGCATGGGCTTGCAAATGGCATTTAGCTGTTCTCTTCACTGCTTGTCGGAGCCCTCAGATCAGGTTGCAGATGCTCAGAGCGACGTGCCCGGCACCTGGGTGCTTGCTTAGCTCGCTCTTGCTCGAGAGCTGCTGGGACAATCCAGGGGTCCCAAGCTTTTCAGCCCATCCAAGATCCTTTCAGGGCCAGATCCGCAGTCGACCCTTGCGCCGAATCGCCGGAGGTCCTGGTGCAACTCCACCCGCTTGGCGTTGCATTCAAACAGGGCCTTCTCCGAACTGCGACAAGAGCGCCGCGGCAGCGTTTGATCTGTCATCAGATCATTGTCTCGATTGGGTGTGAAATTTCATGGGGACCCCTCTGGTGGGCATCATCGGTGAGCATATTCATGTTAACCAACCATTTGGGAGATGATTCATTGAAAAGTTCACAGCCGTTCCTGCTTGAGTCTCACTTTTACTTCTAGTTCTGGGAGCCGTGGCTTTGCACTTACACGTATGATTCCCCGAACGCTTGAACGCTCAGGCATGGCCTTACGTTCCTTTGCTTCTGCGCTTTGAGCTAACATGCGCACTCCGCCTTTTCTCTCGTCGCGCCTTGGATTGTGCTCGCCTTCCACCTCGGTGCTTTAACCATATTCGATTGCCTTCTTTCCATGATCAGGCTTGCCTTGGGCTCAACTCTCCGACTTGATGCTTTTGCTCCTTCTGGTTGCCTTTGCCATCCGACGGCCTCTGAAAGTGTCTCTCAGCCCATTTGGGGCATGGGCTTTTCTCTCTCAATCGGAATCCAGTCAATGCCTTTTTCTCAACTTATTACGTTTCCATGGGCCGTAGAAGCTCGTGTTTCGTTGCATGCCTTGAATAGATAAGACAGCTGTTTGCTTGCTTGTGTTGCTTTTTTTTTTGGCTTGTTTTATCGTTCGCTGCCACACGCCTTGCATTAACTTCCCTTCAGCTGCGTGCACTTGAAATGATTGATGTTGATTTCAGTAAGCTTGTATTTTTTGGCCGCCTTAGAACGGCATGAAAGGCATCAACTGCACCGCTTTCCTAGTCACCTCACACACACACACACCCACACACACACACCCACACCCACACTCGCACACGCAGACGCGCGCGTGTGCGCGCGCACGCGCGCGCACGCGCACGCGCGCACGCGCAAACGCGCACACGCGCACCCGCGCACCCGCGCACCCGCGCACACGCACGCGCGCACGCGCGCACGCGCACGCGCGCACGCGCGAATGCGCGCACGCACGCGCACGCGCACGCGAATGCGCACACACTTGCTCCGCTTTCCAGCTGTTTTGTTTACCTTCTTCACTTGTTGGTCGTTGCCGCTTGCCTGGTGCAGTTTTTTGAAAAACTTGGAGCTTGATGCTGGCACAGGGGGAGGAGCAAGAAATTAGGGACAGCTGCAAGCATGAATTGCAGTTTGAAGCCGGCTAAGGAATTGGAAGGCGGCAGAGGACGTTCAAACAACATATTTGTCCTCACAGTGCACATCTGCGCAGGACGACTGCACAGAAGCATTGAAGATTGATCCGAAGGCATGGACATGGCTGAGCATCCACTACGCACCGGTGATGAATCCCGTGCTAACGTGCTTGCGTTAGGCACTTGTGTTTGTATCCCACGACAAAGATTGCCTTTGCCTCTGCTCCAGGCAGTCAAGGCGCTGTATCGCCGGGCCATGGCTCGAGAAAAGATGGGCCGCGCCGCGGAAGCCTTGAAGGACGGCTCTTTGGGCACGCTTTTGCAATCCACGCCACGTCCGCCGTGTTGGGCAACCGGCAGGACGCTGACGAAGCTCTTAAGCTCCAGCCGGGGGCGGAGGACGCACGCTGGTCACTGCGAATGTCCTTTTGTGCCTGACGGGCTCAAAGCAAGAATGGGATCAAGGCCTTGATCCCCTTGAATCCACCAGATGACAGAACGGTTACATAGCTGTGGAAGTATTTGCGCTTACGCTTGCCAGGAGCTTGCGACTCTTCAGAAGCGGCTGAAGGCATTGCCTGCGCGCCTGATGTTATGTTTGATGTTTGCAGCTGCACTTGGTCCTCTGGTGCTTAGCTTTTTTCGCCCATTGTTGCTTCCGGCGGCACCGCTGTTCTGTTTCTCTTGTTCGCTCGTTCTTTTTTTTTGGGCTTGTTCTCCCTCTACATCCGTTTAGTTTGTGCTGTTTCAACTGTTGCTTGTTGCAGTGGCTATTGTCTACATGTCGATGCGTGTGATTTACGTGTCGTTGGCGACTGGGCTCTTCTGGCCCGTGAACAGCAGCCAGTTTGTTACCAGATAGCAGAAAGCTATAGGTGTTCCAACTTCAAGTAAAGAAAGAAGGGTTGTGCATCGAATTTTAGCTATTTGGGGTCTCTGCCGGAATATGTTTTTGGCACTGGCCCCGGTCTTTGTTGGGAACCTTCTCTCAATCTACGCCTTGCAGCTCGGAACGCATGAACTGCCACAGGCAGCTGAGCCCCCAGCGCAGCCCAAGTCCGATCCCTGGGCTTCCTGCTTGCCGACACTTTGACGGAGGGTGCTGTTTGTCAACCCCACGCGGTTGGGAGACATTGCAGCGGACCAGACTTCCGCGTCCGAAGAGGAGCGACGCGGATTTGCGTTTGGAGCTGTAACCCACCTTTCTGAGGTCACCAGAAGGTCAGTCGCAGAAAACAGCGCCTGGGCTGGATTTGGTGAGCCGAAAGCGCCAAAGTGTCTTAATCAGGTGTCAGAACCGTGGCGTGTGGGTCAACGACCTTGAACACCAGGTGTGCATGGAATATTCGCTTTGGGAGGCCCCACCACCTGCGGGCTTCAAGCGCATGGAGATTGTAGAGGCCAGGATTTGGTTTTGGCCGAGGCATGTCACAGGGTCTTGGGAATTTCCAAGCATTCTGGACAAAGAGACAACAATGCATCGTTCTGGGGGCCTGCCTGAGATTTGATTGAAATCGTTTCTGGCACATCCTTCTGAGGTTTTTGGTATTTCCGTTTTCTTCTCGGGCATGAGTATTGCAGTGTCGCGCAGGCGAGCGACTCTGACGAGGATGAGCCGGCAAAGACTGCCGCCGCCAAAGTGGAGGCAGCCACGGCGCCTCCGACCTCTGAGAAGGCATGCCGGTGGAATCCGTGCATTCGGGAGACAGGGCTCCATGATGTTTGCGCGTTCATGGCCAACGTGGGCCGCATGACAAACAAGCGATTCCAGATGGTTGGCGTTCCGTGGCATGCCAGCAATGGTAGACGTCTCAAAATGCATGACCTGATCAAGGTGCACAGCATGAAAGGCGTGAAACACATACTTGTCATATTGGAGACCCGAATGAAGGACACTGTGGAAAGGCACAGGAAGAACGCGCGCAGCAACTTAAGGTAAGCCACAGGCGAACAAGTGAAAGGCATGTAGCAAATGAAAGGCATGTACTACACAAAAGGCCTGCAAAGCGGAAGGACATGCGAGCTGGAAAGGCATGACAGGCATGCCGGACTTGCCAGTTAGAGAATGTGTACAATTGCGACTTATATAAGTCCATTTTGCATTGATTGGTTTCCTTGCAAGCCAGTGAGCAGGTCTACATTCTCTGTGCGATGCACACGACTTTCCACAGACCTTTGCAAGTCGATGATGCCAGCATGTTTGAGACTTGTAAGTGGGTCAGTTGTGTTAACCGCGCCTTCAGCATCAGGGGTGCATTGAATATTTGCCTTGGGAGGCCCCACCACCTGCGGGCTTCAAGCGCATGGAGATTGTAGAGGCCAGGATTTGGTTTTTGCCGAGCTATGTCACAGGGGCTTGGGAATTTCCATACATCCTTGACGGAAAGACAACAACTCATGGTTCTGGGGGCCTGAAATTTGTCTAAATCGTTTCTAGCACATCCTTCTGAGGTTTTGGGTATTTCCTTTTCCTCTTCCGGCATGAGTATTGCAGTGCAGGCGAGCGACTCTGACGAGGATGAGCCAGCAAAGACTGCCCCCGCCAAAGTGGAGGCAGCCAAGGCGACTCCGACCTCTGAGAAGGCGTGCCGGTGACATCCATGCATTCAGGAGACAGGATCCCATGATGTTCGTACGTTCATGGCCGGCGTATTAGATCTGCTTAGGAGCCGGAAGCACGGGGTACATTCTCCGTGCGATGCACACGACTTTCCACAGACCTCGCAAGCGGGTCAGTTGTGTTAACCGCGCCTTCAGCATCAGGGGTGCATTGAATATTTGCCTTGGGAGGCCCCACCACCTGCGGGCTTCAAGCGCATGGAGATTGTAGAGGCCAGGATTTGGTTTTTGCCGAGCTGTGTCACAGGGTCTTGGGAATTTCCAAGCATTCTGGACAGAGAGACAACCATGCATCGTTCTGGGGGCCTGCCTGAGATTCGATTGAAATCGTTTCTGGTACATCCTTCTGAGGTTTTGGGTATTTCCTTTTCCTCTTCTGGCATGAGTATTGCAGTGCAGGCGAGCGACTCTGACGAGGAGGAGCCAGCAAAGACTGTCCCCGCCAAAGTGGAGGCAGCCAAGGCAACTCCGACCTCTGAGAAGGCGTGCCAGGGAATTTTTTGCGGATTGCACTTTGGAATGAGATGGCATACACTGAGGGCAGACCGGCACCAATATGAACACAAGGGCCGTCAGACTTTGTTCCGGAGGCGACCAAAGACCCAGAGATGCTTCCAGAGATGCTTCCAGAGCTTACGTTTGAGCGCGCAGCCTCAGCTTTGCAGTGCTCTTGCTCAGCACCACCCAGAGCACAGCACATCGTTGTTTGTCTGTGTTGCAGAGCATGTAGGGCGAGTGTGATTTGATTCTCACATTCGTCCACTTTTCTTTTTCCCAGGTTCAGTCGCAAGGGAGTGGAGGCCGCAAAGAGTGCCGGCAGCCAGCTCTTCAGCAAGCAGGCGCGACCGGAGCAGGGCACGGGCGGGTCGTATGTGACCGATGCTCCAGAGTTGGTGCCCTGCCGGGGGATCGAATGGCCGGCTAGGACCTGCAGGGAGCGTCGCGACACTTCTCCAAGGCCCTGTGGATGCTGCAGTCGGGCAAGGCCGTCAGCCTGAGTCAAGAGGGAGCAAGGGCCACTAACTGACATTTAGCTGCAGATCAGGTGGCAGATGCGAGCGACGTGCAGGGAACCTTGACTGCCAGCTTTGCTTGGTGCGCGGAGAAGTGCCTAAGTGTGAGCTTTTGGGGCAGTGGGCATGCCCACACAGCGTTTCAGCCCATTCAAGATGCTTTCAGGGGTTGATCAAATGGTCCTGTACATGAGATGACCATTGTGGAAAACCTCTAAGAAGCTGATACTTCCACTAAATGGGACATGTTACGCATGGTCATTTGGGGGCCTGGAATATTGATCCGCAGCCGACCCTCGCGCCGAATCGCCGGAGGTCCTGGTGCAACTCCACCCGCTTGGCGCTGCATTTGAACAGGGCCTTCTCCGAGCTGCGACAAGAGCGCCGCGGCAGCGTTTTGTTCTGTCATCAGGGCTCATTTTCGATTCCGTTGAGTTTTGGAGCCGTGGAGCCGTGGCTTTGCCCTTGTCACCTTTAGCGTGGCCTTGCATGCCATTCCCTCAGCAGTCCTTGAAGTTTGGATGCCTGCAGCTAAGGAACTGGCAGGCAGCAGAGGACCGGCGCAGGAAACGTTGGTGCCTCCTCTGTATGCGCTGCATCAGGACGACTGCGCAGAAGCGTTGAAGATCGAACCGCAGGCGGTCAAAGCGCTGTACCGCCGGGCCATGGCTCGAGAAAAGATGGGCCGCGCCGCGGAAGCCTTGAAGGACGGCTCTTTGGCCATGCAGCACTCAGCGTTGTGTGGCGGCTAAACAGCAGCAGTTGCTTGCGAGAGGACGTCGAAGAAGCTCTGAAGCTGCAGCCGGGGGCAGAGGACTCGCATGCGCAGAAACGTGCTCACTTCGAGCGCCAGGCAAAGCTATATTTTGAATTCTGACCGAACTGCGCAAAGGTCCGCACATGGCGGATGAATGCAGGGTGAAGAGCACCTTTGTACTACGCGAACAGAAGAGCAACGATATGGCTTTTCAGTAAATTATTTGAAACCCTGCAGCTGCGCTCAGAATTGGAAGCAAGGAAGTGTCTACCCCAAGCAGGTCACAAAGCAAAACATCCGAATGGCCCTAGTCCTGCTCAGACCCTGAAGCCCAACCGAAACCAGCCCTAAACCATTTGCAGAAACTGATTACATGGCACTACATTACACTACAATACATAACACTACATTACACTACACTACATTGCACTACATCCCATTACATCACATTACATTACATTACATTACATTGCATTGCATTGCATTACATTACATTGCATTGCATTGCATTGCATTGCATTGCATTGCATTGCACTACACTACACTACACTACACTACATTACATTACATTACATTACATTACACACACGCATGCAGCCAAGCGTTACGTTACATTGATTCACATCACATCACATTGCACTACATTGCATTGCATCACATCACATCACATCGCATTGCATTACATCACAGATATACATATGTATGTATGTAATGTAATGTAATGTAATGTAATGTAATGTAATGTAATGTAATGTAATGTAATGTAATGTAATGTAATGTAATGTAATGTAATGTAATGTAATGTGTAGTGTAGTGTAATGTAATGTAATGTAATGTAATGTAATGTAATGTATTGTATGTATCTATGTATATATATATATATCAGCGTATATATGTGTACGTATATGGCATGAGCCTACAGCCCCTTCCGCGCTGATCCAATCCTTGAACACCTTTGGCCAAAGGACCGACGTTACAAACCCAGTACACATTGAGCGGCCACCCAGTGGCCCAGTTTTGACAATAGGTTCCATTCCCGAAACCTGTAAGGTGTTCTCCTATCTGGTTTCATAGGGTTCATAGGGTTGAATACGCCTCCAGAACTGTGTGAGCTCACGATCATTTTGGGGCACCATACTTGGCTCACACTTGGCTCACGTGAGCTTCTCTGTGCGAGACAGAACGCCTTTGCCTATGCAGACAGTACAAGAGGCATGCGGTGCTTTTTCTCTTTACAAAGACCCCTTGTTTGGGCATGGCCCGTTTGAAATCTATGTGTGCCATGGCAGCAGACTTTCGTACTTAGTTTTCTTAGGTATCGTTGCTAGGGAGGCCATCAATCTTTGATGGGATATCAAAAACCAAACAACCAGCATACATTTTGCCTTTTTTATCCAGGGATACCATGACCATGACTCACACTTGGAATTTTGACTGCGTGAAATTGACCTCGCACTTGACAGCTGCGAGGAGCTTTTGGCACTGCAAAAGAAATTGAAGGACGTACCAAGAGTGCAGACGCCACCAGGCGGGGATCGCTTCGCAGGCGCTTCCTTGCGAGAGTTCTCTTGAATTGGCTTACTCAGCGTTACATGTAGAGCCACCCCTGGCAGACACTAGCAAGGTTTCAAGCGCATGGAGATCGTGGAAGCTAGCGACGATGAAGATGAGCAGGACTTGGTGCATTCTGTCTCCCCCAATGCTGCTATGCGCCTAAAACTGGCCCACACAAATCGCCTAACTGCGGTGTGTTCCTTTGCATATCTGAAATGAGTTTGGCATGTGAGGTCGATTCAGCCCGTACCCACAACCACAAGAAAACACAGAGGATGCGCGCATGAGGCTTGGGTTGGGAATATTGCCCATGCAGGTTTTGAGTTTAGA